TTGTCAAAGGTATGACTATGAAAACTATCTTATAAACTTTTATCAAGCGCATGATCCTCAATTATAATGTAATAGTGTCGGGGTACACGCGGAGGTACATGCTGTGTGTCATGTGTATACTTTGTCGCGAGGGTTGACATTACATCTCAACTATTGAAAAAAAAAAATTCTCTGAAATGAATGAAATTAATTGAATGAAGCTCTCCCCGATTATGAGATTAAAAAACTATTCATTCACTTGTAATTAATTTTTATTTCACAGACGCACTAGTCTCATCAGAGAATTGAATAGTTCTATGCACGTAAAACTGAAAATAAAATAAAAGTAGTTGGTAATTGACGATGAAGTGATGCAAACGATGAACGGAAAATTTTAGTATTTCGGTCCGAGTGATGCATCAACTCTGGATTCATGCAAATTCAATGGTAAATTTATCAAAGGTATGACTATGAAAACTATATTATGAACTTTTATCAAGCGCATATGGCCCTGCATCATAATGTAATGCATAGTGTCGTGTACACGCGCAGGCATGCTGTGTATCATATATATACTTTGCCACGAGGGTTGACATTGTATCCCAACTATAAAAAAACAATTCCCCCAAATAAAGGAAATGAATGAAGTTTCCTCTTACCGATTACGAAATTAAAAAACTCTTCATTCACTTCTAATTAATTTTCATTCCACAGACGCACAAGTTTCATCACAGAATTGAATAGTTCTTCGCACGTAGAAATGAAAATAAAATAAAAAAAGTTTGCATTGACAATGAAGTGATGCAGGCGATCAATGTAAAATTTTATTGTTTCATCCCGAAGATTTCTCGATCGTACTTCGTTCCGAAAGATGCATCAGACTTTTGATTCAAAAAGCCCCCCAATGGCTCGAGCGAGGCAGTGTGTACGACTGGCGCACATGCAAATCAATGGTAAATGTATTAAAGCTATGAAAACTATCGTATGAGCTTTTATCGAGCGCATGATCCTCCACTATAATGTAATAGTGTCGGAGTACACGCGCAGGCATGCTGTGTATCATATATATACTTTGCCACGAGGGTTGACATTGCATCCCAACTATAAAAAAACAATTCCCCCAAATGAATGAAATGAATGAAGTTTCCTCTTACCGATTACGAAATTAAAAAACTCTTCATTCACTTCTAATTAATTTTCATTCCACAGACGCACAAGTCTCATCACAGAATTGAATAGTTCTTCGCACGTAGAAATGAAAATAAAATAAAAAAAGTTTGCATTGACAATGAAGTGATGCCGGCGATGAATGGAAAATTTTATTGTTTCATCCCGAAGATTTCTCGATCGTACTTCGTTCCGAAAGATGCATCAGACTTTTGATTCAAAAAGCCCCCCCAGTGGCTCGAGCGAAGCAGTGTGTACGACTGGCGGTCGACGCCCGGTCTCCACTAGGATTTCCACCGCGCCACTACCACTGTAAAATCCACCACCACTATCACCCCAACTTACGGACGCCAGGAGCAGGGTGGGGGTGCTCAGCTATTTCCAAAACCCCTGTACCCCTTCCACCTTTTTAACACGGATGTGCTTGCATTGGGGCGCCACTTGCGCGCACCCTGCAACGCAGGGCACAACTGGCATTATAAGGTTACAGGGTACTCTCTCCTTCTCTCTCTCCTCTCCCCGCTGCTGTATCATCCCGCAGTCGCGTCGCCTGCCGTATCCACTCGCGCGCAAGTCCAATGATTCTACGCGTCTTTCCACTCACTTGTAAATGTGTACAACGTAAATCCCGAGGGTCTCAACTTTTTTGTACTTCGGGGGGTGATACTTTCACACATTTGGTCGGTGTTTTTTTTTCTTCGCGGGGAGTTTTTTCGTCGCAGTAATTATTGAAGAAGGGAGCTGGCGGATTGTGGGGGCGTGGGGTCATTAGAGAATAAAAAGTTGAGAAAATTTTGAGAATACTATTTATTCATTTTTTATTAAACATTAGAACTTTATTCGCGAGATTTATTCGCTGTAAATGCAACGTAATATGTACACAAGTGCTGTATGTAATTGAAATAGAATTTTTTATGAGAAAATTGTGATGGAAATTTTTTTTATGACAAAATTTTATAATCCAGAACAGAATAAGATTCAAATTGGAAAAATTTGAATGATTGTAAATAGAATTCGCAATGTATTACGTTTTTCAATCGTTTTTTCATTAATAGATAACGAGAAATTCGTTTTTGGAAAAATTTTGAATGTTTTTGAATCTATTGTAAAGTTAAAATTCTTAATTTAGAGTAGTAATTTGATGATTCATCAATTTTTGTTTGTTCTGTGGGATTGATTGGCTTCATTATTTGAATATACGTTTATTTAATTGTAGACAGACATTTTCGTTACGATAAGTGCCTCAATAGATGATAGAAATGATTTCATTCTGATTATTCGATAACGACGTAATGAGAAATAAATTCAACTCCTAAATGAACCTCGAGTTTTATTTCATTAATCATTTCCAAAAATACCAAGCAAAGAATTTTAGTCTTTTTTCATTAAGCATTAATGTGGTAATTAAATATCATTGATGGATTATTCATTTTGGTCGATCAATTGTACATGAAAAAGAATTTTACTTTTCAGCGGTAGCAACTTCACAATTTTTCTATGAATGCTATAATAGCAAGTGGATTTCATTTTATTTTGAGTTCAAATATATTTTCTCATGCTTAAAAAGGAAAGTCCAGTCCATATTTCAATAAATTTCAATAATAAAAGATTATAAATATCCAATATAAAATTGTAAAGCTGTGAATATATGAATTACAATCATAATTTCATTATGACAGGCTCTTTAAAGTATTTCTGCTTTTATTATTGCACCAAATAATCCAAAAACAGCAAATCTTTGTAACTTAATCAATTAATTCATAAAATGTTAATAATTATAACCGCAATTTCAGATGTAGCATACATAAAGTACATTATGAATAATATAAATAATTTTTTTCCTGAAAATCTTACAAAAAAAAATTTATTCTATTTCTTTGAGTTCAAAAAAAATTTCTCATGGTTGGAAATCGATGAATTTAGTTCAAAGTTTAATAAATTTCAATAATAAAAAATTACAAATATTCAATTTAAAAATATAGACCTGCAAATATGTGAATTACAGCCACAATTTCTTTGAAGCAGCAGTTTCTTTGAAATATTCTGTATTTATTATTGCCTCAAACAAGCAAAAAACAGAATAATTTATGAATAATTTATTCCTAAAGCCTTGATTATTATGGCCACAATTTCCTAATAATAGAGTTTCAAAAACTGCTGAGGTGAGAGAGTCATATTGGCAATTTCAGTAGTAAAGGTACGCACAAAACCAACTCATGCGCCAATAGTTGAACTCATCGACAATCAATTAACGTCAGTCCTCCTCGGAAAGAATGAAACTCCTGAAAACAGGAGATAATTCGAACGATTCAATATAAGTAAACACTCTTTGCGGGATTAAGAAAGTTGAATCGAGTTTTAACTCAAGCTTTCGGGGAGAAAACCCGGAGAAAAGCGTTCAACTGGCAACTGTAAGCTCGGGGCTTCTTGTTTGGACAGTATTACAAGAATAACTGTACTATAATTTCCGAGAGAAAGACAAACTCCGGTGAAAGATTGTTATCAAATATTAACAGTTGCTGAATGCATTTCTGTAAATAACGCAAGGCAAATTTTCTTTAGAGCGACTCCCTCGAAATCATGATTATTACATTTTAATTAATTGAAGAAATTATTTTTTAACATATATTTCAATTTTTTATTGATTAAACATAATGAAGAATTGTTGATAAACTAATTGTTCATTATTTTAGTAACAATTATTATAATGCATACATGTTATGTAATTAATAATAAAAATAACTTGAAAGGAAATAAAAAATAACAATGAAGAAAGTGCTTTTAAATAAATTTTTAAAATTAAAATTAAAAATTTATTTCCATTTTCTGTTGATTGAAAATAATGAACAATCATCAATAAAATAATTATTCATCATGTTAATGATAATTATTATTGTAAATTAATTTTATTAATTGACAATGAAAGTTATTTGAAGGACGTGAGGAAAAAAATAAAAAATGCCATTCTCTGGATTTTATCAAATTTTCTTCAGAACGACTCCTTTAAAATCATGATTATTACATACTCATCAATTGTATAATTAAAAAATTAAAGCGGAAATCTAATTTCTCATCAATTAATTAAAGAAACTATTTTTCAAAATGTATTGTAGTTTTCTATTGATTAAAACCAATAAACAATTATTGATAAAATATTGTATATAATTGCAATAATAATTATAATCATCAATAAATGTTATGTAGTCCTAATAAAAATAATTTGAAAGCAAATAAAGGAATATAATGAAACGTTTTTAAAAAAATAAATTAAACAATTGAAATTAAAAATTTCTTTTCATTTCCTGTTGATTGAAAATAATAAATAATCATCAATAAAATAATTATCCATCACTTTAATGATGATTACTATAACAGATTGAATTAATTAATTGATGATAAAAATAATTTGAAAGGACGTCAGGAAAAAAAAGTAGTATTTCGCATTTTATTAATTGAAAAAAAAGTTTTAAAGAATTAAAGAATAAAAAGAATGAATGAGATGGAAACGTCATCAATCTGTGGATTGTTTACTCTCCAGAAATTTCCTCGAACATCGTCTGATCCAAAAACATCATCATCAGTTCTGTTTAACACAGTCACCCGTTAGACACCACTAGTGTCCAGAGTGACGCGTAATTCTCCGTCTCGACTGCAATTACGGCGTCTTCCGTATGTCCGTCCCTCTCATTCCCATTGTCGTAAGCCCCGTCCAACCGCATTACCCCGTCTCCCTCGCACCCGATCTCCATCGCCTATCCACCGCACTCTCATTCTCTCCCTCTTCCTCATGGCCACACGGCGACCTTCTCCCCCTCCTTCTCCACCCGTAGCCTTTTCACCGTGCGGCTCACAAACTGTTCGGATACTGTGGGCACACCAAGAGTAGCCATACTGAATTTCACCACACTTCTTTAGCCAGTGTCGCAGTAACTCTCATACGGAATGGATCGTTTACGCTCGGCAAGCACACATTCGGTGAGTTTTTACGTATGGCTCGCGAATTTCGTTTCACTCGCGGGGATTTTTATGCATGCGGGGGGTGGAGTCGGCAGGAGATGCATTTTTGGAATGAAATGTCACTGTTTTCAATCACTTTGATCATACTATAGATTCTGACGTTTTCATTCATCAATTCTCGATAATTGTTAATTTTTGATAATTATTGTTAATAATGAAAATTCGTACGGAATTGAAATTTCTCAAGTTGAATATTATTATTGAATAGACAATTCGATAAATAATGGAAATTGTTTAAATTATTGGGAACCATTTTTTGTATTAATTTATTAATTATTCATTAGACATTTTTAGTCGTCAATTGTGGATAATTATTAATTATGTAAAGTCGTACTGAACTGAAATCTCTTAAATTTAATATTATTATTGAATAGTCAATTTAATAAATTCTGGAAATTGTTTACACTTCTGGGAACTTCATCTTTTTGCAATAATTTATTAATTATGGATTTTGACATCTTCAATCATGAATTATAGAAGATTATTAATTTTAAAATTTCTCGAATTTCATATTATTATTTATTATTAAATTTAATGAATAATGAAATTTGTTTAAAATTTCGGAAACTACACTATCTGCTATAATTTATCAATTACTTATCAGATAAGATCGTGGTATTTAACACTAACAAATTCTAAATTGTTCCAAAATTCTTTCATTGAATGTCGACTTTCTATTTTTTTTCTATTTTTAAAGTGTTTGCTAACGATTTAAAAAAAATTGAGTTGAAACTTTGAAAAAATCTAATAATAAACTGATTCTAAAAAATAATTTGTATGACATTGACTATTCATCAATTTTTCAACATGTTCTCACGCATTTTAATTTCAAAAATGGAAACAATGAACATTTCCATGCGAGAATGACAGAAGGTTTTACTTTTTATTGACTTTAAGAACACTTTACAACTGTTTGGACTTATTTTTTTTCTTTTCGTCTTTTCGTCTTTAAATGGCACTTAATTCAGATATTAAGTATTAACGACGGTCCATATTACCTCTCTCTGCCCCAGTGAATCAATTACAAAATGTTTATTTGATGATCAATAAAAAACTTTTAACGGGTTTTTCTTGAAATAAAAATTAAGTCGATCGATGGTTTTTGAGAAATTAAAAAAAAATGCACAATGGGTTTCCTGAAATATAATTCTCACATTACCCAGATTTTAACGCAATTCCCGGTGTGATTTTTTTCTCACTGCACTTATTTCGGGATAAGCTTCCGCAATTAGATTCACTCACGCGGTTTTCAAAATATGTCAGACCCCCATTAATTCATCAATCCAATTACGCTGACGTATTAACCGTCGCAATTCGGTGTTAGCCAGTTTATTCGATTGGACACCGCATCACAGGCCATTGGAGAGTCATCTCGATTGATCGATACACGCTTTGGGAACTTGTCACCATCGATTGACGCACATGAAAGTCCCATCATTGACGGTTACCTCGTCAATGTGTTGCCCTCGGTTATGACGTCTCGCGTGACGTCTTCGTGTCCCTTCCATCCCCATCCCATCATCCGCAGAAAATAGAGTGCGGTTTCTCGTGCGGGTGGGCTCCATGTCCGTTAATCTCATGAGAATTCTCTGCGCGATTTTTCTCGGTTTTTCTCGGAATGTTTGATAATTTTTCTTAATGAGTTCGATGAATTTTACGCAAAACAAAACATCATGATTTATTTAATAGGATAGACTGTCATTATTGAAATCTGAGTCATTCCTTCAATGACACATTATTATATATTTCCGTTCCACTTTTTCATTCCGCGTTTTATCGACTTCATGAGCATTCCGAAATGTCAATATTTACCGGTCGACACCGGGTGTTGTTGTAGTCCATCGGGATATTGCCAAAAATTATTACTCGCGACGCAGAGCACTTCAAGCTGACGCTGTCATTTTTGGGTTCAAGCTGTTGAAAAATATTTATTGAAGGACAATGTCATTTCCAACCTGTCATTATTATAATTACGTTGTTTGAATAATAATTGCGAAGGTATTTTTACGCTGTTATGACATTTTCGACTTTTTTTTCGTTGAATCATCTAACATCGAACATTTTCATATTTTGCATTCATTTTATGTCAGAGAAATGAGGTTTGCAAAGGTTTCAACAATTTTCATTTTTCATTTGTGAAGCAGGGATGTTAAAAAAATATATTTTTTGCGAAATGTAAGTTGGAAGACTGTCTTTATCCATGAAGTGAAGAATATGATTAATTGCTTGAACAATTGTTTGGGAATTTTTACAGTAATATGACGGTTTCTTTGAATTTACATCTTTTCTTCATTGAAATCACTTAACATTCAACTTTTCAACATTTTACAATAATTTTATTATTCGAATAAACATTGAAAATATTATTTTTCCATGAATAATTATATAAGAAATTAATTTTATGCAAAAAATAAGGTTTTGGGCGACTGTTGACAATTTCCATGATTTATTTATAATAACAAAGTGTTAAGAAACTACATTTCTTATAAAATTCAAGTCAAATCACCGTAATTATTGATGAATTGAAGAACGTTATGAACTATTCAAACAACAGTTGCTCCGGAATTTCCGCTCTAATCTGACATTTCCATTGAATTTTCCCTTTTTCAGTCAAAATCATTTAACATTCAACATTTCAACACTTCGCAATATTTTCACTAATTGAATCCCCAACCAAAATGATATTTTTCACGCATAATTTCTCAAGAAAATGATTTCATGCAAAGAAATAAAGCTTCCGAAAATGCAAACAATCTCCATTATTTATTTATAAGAAAACGATATTTAAAAAATACAGTTCCTGCAAAATGTAAGTTGAATGACTCAAACTATCCGCGAACATTTCAACATTTTCTCACGCAATGCAAATTCATAAAAAATCCCTGTCCTTAAGCGACAAATTCTCATGTATTTTAACAAAAAAAAATCGCCACATGTAAACACCGCCTTTTTTCAATTAATCCGACTCGTGATCTCGAGAGTTCTGCGTCGAAGGTCGTGCAGTTTCATTACATTACATTGGCGAAGTCCCGCCAGTGCTTCCTCCTCAAATAAAAATCATCGTTTACTTTTTCCTCTAGAAAATGGAGAGAACTTTGTGGATTGGCCTGTGGGGCCTTCTGTTGTCCTCCAGCATTGTCAACGGTGTACCATACTCGAGTAAGTACATTATTTTCACCGCAATGCTTCTTTGCGAAGTGCCCAAATGGACCGTATACGTACGGCAGTTTGGAGCACTCAAATTCATTTGTGTTTGTGTAAATGGACTCAAGTCGACGGTAAGAATAAATTGGCAATCTCACCTACGCCAAGACTGTATTTATATCTTCATTTTCCATGTAACACGTTCCACCGCGCATTATGCCCGTGGATTCCCATTAAAAAGTGAGTTTTGGACAGTTTTCAGATGCTATTATCCTCCGTAAACAACGGCGAATTATGTTGTTTTATGGATAAATACGGATGGCTGTCGATTCAGGTGGGAATCACCTGTTGCGTACGTGATTGTCTTGCAATTAACGGAGAACAGAAGTTACATAACAGTTGAGCATTGTGATTTTCCAAATAAAGGGGGTTTCTTTCCATGAAAATTTATCATTCGGAAAATTATTTGCGGAGGAAAAATCATTTGGCAAAAACATTCTTGGGAAAAATCCATTAAAGTGATTAAATTCATTAACGTAACGTATTGTTTTTTTTATTCAAGAGCAGAATTCATTAAAAAATTCCAGATTTATTTTTTAATTTTACTTCTGCCTTATTGACCCATCAAATTAGTTGATTTCGTTAACGTAAGGGTCACGAGGGTTAGAGTGACGCGACTTTTAAAAATTTCGATAATTGATTAACGTACTTTTTCTTCTTGAACATTCGGGTAATTTTTAAATAATCTATTTTAATTCTAGAACCCCATGTGATTTCATCTCACGTTAGCGAATTTAAAATATTATAAATATTGCATTTTAATTTGTGATTTCATTTCAACGGTATAAATAGCGCCCGAAGAGGGGCTAAGACCCTGAAGTCTACACGGAGAGAAATTTTATTGGGGAAAACGTAAATTTTTCTCCGTATTTCTGTGAAAAATTCACAGTAATCCCCAGAAATTTTATCAGAAATACAAAGAAATTTTACCTTAACAGCACTAGAATTTTTCACAGCCGGTGGATTGTGATTTTCTTCAGTACTCGTACTAGAATTTTTCTAGAAAATGTCTCTCCGTGTAAGAGTTCGAAATTAAACTCTACCTAATCGCAACGAATATTAGAGTAAATGTCAATCGAACGATCACAATCTTATGTTGTTCATATGTGGAAAAATATCGAACAAAATCCCACCATGAAAATATATTTTTGACGAAAATTTATTGGAGAAAAAAAAATTTAATTTAGTAGAAAAATTCTCGAAAATGAACGCATCAAATCTATTGAATTCATTGAGATAAGGGTCACAAGAGTCAGAGTCCCTCAATTTTTACTTTTTTCCACTCAAGCCCGGAATTTATAAAATGAAAAAAATTCCACAATTTTTTAAAAAAGCAATATCCTCCTACGTCCTATTGACCTTTATTTCATTCAATTCATTGAACAGCACATCAATGTTAACCGGTCATTTTAATGTCAGAATGCTCGATATAGACTGGAACAGAAACATCGGGTTTAATTATACCAATAATCGATAGACTGGGAGTCTCCCGTCGGTCGGGTGTTAAAATACAATTACTGTTGAGTCAATGCTGATGGAGTTACCGGAAGCAAAAACCCCGAACCGCCGTTGGCGTCACATTCATTCGCTCTGACGAGCAATTTAAGAGGGGTTGAAAAAATAACTGAGATCAGATGAATAAACGAACGACAGAATCCAGATATATTTATCATTCCAGAGGGGTAAAATGAGCAAGAAGCGGGTGATATAAAAATGGTGTCAATGCATTTTACAGTTCAGTGGGCATTCTGGGGGCGTAATAAGCCCCCTGTGTTCTTTTTTTAACTTTTAATATGCACTTTGGTGAGGGAGAAAAAGCTCGCAACAAAGCTTAAAAGCACAGACGCTCAACGGAACAGTTAAATGCACATCTACATGAACGAAACTCTCTTTAACGTTTCATTGTGCATTTCCGAGGGAATGAGAGTTGGATGTAAAAGTTCTTAATGACTGTTTTGTATTCCTTTGTTTGATAGGAGGGAATCATGTCATATTTTTCGTGCGATAAGAATGATTGCTGCGCTGTTGATGTCTTTTTCGAAATTTAAGCGAGTGAAATTAAGGAAATTATGAAATTAAGGCTTGATTTTCATTTTATTGCAATGTATTTCAATATATTATTAAGGCTTCAGTGGAACTGGGCGTGGAAATTGGTGAACAATTAATTATACTTCGATTTCCATAACTTCATTTTATCGTTTCAGTTGTAATTGAAAATTTGGCCCAACGTATGAATTATTGAAAATTTCAGTCGTGTTAAAAATTCCCTCTGTTTGTGCAGAATACGGTAGAACCTGCACGGATATTGCCTACGAATTGGATGTAAATGTTTTCAATGACTTTCATATTTACTTGTTTGATAGGAGTGAATCCTGTCACATTTCATCATTTTCGAATGATTTAAGGAGATTGTCAGCGAGAAAATAACGAAATCAAGGCTTAAACTTTATTTTACTTCAGTGTATGTCAATATATTCTTGAGATTTCAGTGCAATTATATTCGAATATCCTCAAACAACTTTCATTTTACTCTCCTCATAATAATCGGAAATCTGGCGAAACCCACGAATTGTTTAAAATCTCAAAGTTTAAACAAAATTCGCTTTGTTTTTCTCCAGAATATGGCAGATCCTGCAAGGATATTGGCTGCAGGACTAACGAAGTTTGTGTAATGGCTGAGGACCCCTGCACATTCGGTAAACGCGACTGCGGTTACTACCCAACATGCACGAAAAGTGGCGATGCAGGTGAGTTGACTCACACGAACAACTGATTAAACTCCATCATTACCCAGAATGAATCATATTACCCACGGTTTCAGGCCTCCTCAGCTGCACAAGCATGATCTGCCCAAGCGGACAATACTGCAAGACTGTTGACGGACGTGCTACCTGCGTCAACACAAATTCCAATCTTGGTAAGTGATAACTACCCAGAATTTTCGCAGATTTTTTCCATGTATGCAATTTTGTCTCAACTATCCCTCTGTTATCGCACCGAGGTTTTCCGCTCCATTCACTCATGAATAACAAAAAATTCGACCGGAAAATGGGTGGAGCAATGCACTGTTTGTTTTCAATGTCGCATGAGTGAGAAATCATGTTGACGATGATTGAGTAATAGCTGTTTGTTTGACAATGTTTGTATTCAATTTATTTGAATTGATTTTCTGGGGATTAAATGTACGTAAATGGTGGCGTTATTTTTATTCACTTACCCAACTCTTGCAGTCTATTTACGTAAAAGCCTGAATGATCCCTCAGCCAATCCCCTTGGGCTCTGGGTAATGCAGGTTCAGAGACTGGATGCTCCACCTTTTTCTACTCGCTACAATATGAGTATGTATTGACCCGGTGTGTTGGCACTTTTTCCACGTAAAAGTTTTCACAACCACTATCTATAGATCACTGTCTCATTCACTCCTCTGACACTAGGCCTCTCTGTGCACTCACCACTCTTTCCGCTAGCATAAAAGAGATATTTACTTCATATCGAGATATATGGGATACGTACAGAACAGATGGTTATGGGCGTTTTATTATTTGAAAAGTAGGAGATTGATTTTTTCGGAGCTTTCCCGAATTGTATGGGGGGTAGTGTGTCAATATGCATTGGCTTTTGTGTCCTCTGGGGCAGTCTGAAATCACAATGGAGGATGGAAAATTTTGCTGCAGGGTGGTGGTGAAATTTTCAAAACTGTTTGTTTCAATTTTTCAGTGTTTTAATTAGGCTCTCAAGTTTATATTTCAAGGAGAAAAGTTCAAAGCTTTCGTCGCTCTATTTCCTTCATTATGGTTTAGGGCTTGTTTTTAATGACTTGTGAATCGTGTTGAAGTTGTGCTTAACTTGTATCTTATCTTCACTGTAAAAACTAGTGTCTCCAAGGCGTCTTGATCTGAGACATTAGACACAATCATGTGTTTGAAATAAGACGTTTGATAGACAAGACACTTTTGTATTATCTTGAAATACAAGATTTCTGTCTCATTTCTGTCTCGAATCAAAATATGGGATGTTAATCCCGTTAAGAACACCTTAAGAAAAGATACAAAAGTGTCTTAATCTCAGACACTAGTTTTTCCTATTGTTGGTGTGGGCTCAATTGCATGTAATAACCTTTATAAGACAGCATAATGCACAAACAAAGGCCCGACGCACAGATTGACCCAAATGATGTAGTAATCCTCAAAACCCCGATGACTCTATTCACCGGTCAATCTCCACATGTTAAGCCCATCAGCAGCGACATTCAGCTTGAAAGGATGTCGTTTAGACCGAAAAAAGTTGGAAAACGGCCACAATTTTTCCAGGATATGATTCCGCCGGTGTTTCGTCAGTGAATGGACAGCGTGCGAATACAGATAATAATCCCGGATCTTCGAGTACGAATTACAATCCATATTCAAATGCTAATGCACCACCACCAGACCCGAGCCACGATACCAACTATCATCCAGTCAATTCAGCGAATAACAATGGATATCCCCAGTATCCTAGTAGTTCTGGTAATTCTGGTTATGCTGGGTATCCGCGACCACCTTCGTCAGGGGGAAATCTGGGGTATCCGCCGTATCCAACGCAGAATCGCATGCCTCAACCTGGTGGTTATCAGCCATCTGGTCACTATCCAGCGGGCAATTACCCGGGTTATCCCAGCAATCAGCAGCCTGGTTATCAATATCCTAACAACCCATATCATCAAAATCCGTACAATACGAATTCGAAGAGATATCGGGGTGCGGCGACATCACATTCACCGCACATTCTTTTGCTCTGTTTTGTTGGTCTGTTAGTCATGGTCAGGGAATACCTGTCATGAAGCGTTTGCGGGATTAATTGGGGACGAGTCAATCTAATGAACACAAGTTTTATCGAGACAGAACATTTATCGTCATTCGGGCAGGTGTTGTGTGACTATGAATTCAACCTTTTTTAAGAATATTCAATTTTCCCTCAGAGGACCAAATTGCGAGTCTTCGGGAAAATTGTATCAAAAAAATCTGTACAAGACGAATTTAAAGGGAGATCGGGGTACTGCTACATCATATTCACCACACATTCTTTTGCTCTGTTTTGTTCGTCTGTTAGTCATGGTTAGGGTGTACCTGCCATGAAGCGTTTGCGAGATTAATTGGGGATGAGTCAATCTAATTGAACACAAGTTTTATCGAGACAGAACATTTATCGTCATTCGGGCGGGTGTTGTGTGACTATAAATTCAAACTTTTGTAAGAATATTCAATTTCCCCCTGAAAACTCGCAATTTGATCCTCTGGGGGAAAATTGTATCATCAAAATCTGTACAATACGAATATAAAGGGATATCGGGGTGCGGAGGCATCACATTCACCGCAAATTCTTTCCTTTTGTTTTGTTGGTCTATTAATCATGGTTAACGGATACCTGTCATGAAGCGTTTGAGGTATTAATGAATCCAAACTTTTGTAAAAATATTCAATGTTGTCAGCAAGTATCGCATTTTGATCCTGTGTAATGAATTAAGAATACGCCAACTATAAGAAAATTTCCATATCATAACAATCCGTATCATTCGAATTCGAAGAGATATCGGGGTGCGGCTATGTCACACTCACCGCAAATTCTTTCCTCTCGTTTTGTTAGTCTATTAATCATAGTTAACAAATACCACTCATGAAGCATTTGCAGGATTAATTGGGGAGGATTTAATCTGGTGAACCCAATTTTATCGAGACAACACTTATCGTCACGTCGGACAGGTGTCGTGTGACTCTGGATTGAAACTTTTGTAAAAATATTCAATTTCCCCCGAAAAACTGGCAATTTGATCTTGTGTAATGAATTGAGAATACGCTAGCTGTAGGGAAATTGCCACTGCAAATGGACCAATCATCGATATTGCTATCTGAAACGCGAGTTGCGCGTGTGAATCACCCCGTCCATTTCCCAACTGTATTTACCTATTCAAATATTAAAACCCTGAATAGAGTTCTCAAACGGGACACAGAGGTGAATGCAATAAATAGTTGCCTGATCACCCTGTTCACAGATTGAGTTTAAAATCAATTTTGCATTCCGATATTGATCAAGGTCCAGTTGGTCTACGTCTATGTGTCCATTTCCATGCTAACTCAGGCAGCCGTATGTGGAATTACTTAATTGAAGTTGTCTGCTCCGTCCCGATTTACCAATTTAAGAATTACTTTGAACCTTTTCAAACATGTATTTATTTTTGTACCTGTGTAGATAGAATTTGAACGTTTTTTATGATGAAATAAATACACATTGTTGATATATTGTGGATTGACGGATGGAATTGGGTAACGCTGTTGGGAAAGCTGTGTCACGCGTAGCTACAACTACGCAGTTCTGTTCTGTATTTATCCCAAAGTTACTGACTGAGAATGACTTAAGTTTGACCTTTGACGCACTTCAGTATTGCTTATCGCGTATGGTTATCTGCGGTCAAATTGTGGCACTGAAATTTTCTGATTAACATACTTCATGAGGAAAGACCTTGCTCGTAGTTATCAAAGTGAATGGAGGATAAGAATATTCTGTACTAATGATTCTATATTTTCACGTTGAGGGATAGTTGAAGTTGAACTCATTCATGTTGGGACAACTCAGATTTTGATTGACACGCTCTAAAAATCAGGCAAAAAACAACTCTATTTCATTTCGCATTTTGTTAAATATGCAATTCTACTCGGGCAAAAGTACCACAAGGGATGCTTCAATCGAAATCTGGGATGACGCCTTCTCGTCAGTCTCATCAACGGTTAGCAATGAGTTATGAATGTTGATGAACTTGTAAATTCGGAAATATTCAATATGCTGTTCAGCCCCCGCTGCCCGTCGACCAGATGGTCGTAGACGACCGGTTGTGATACCCAAACCAGTTGTACCCACACCACCACCCAGATCCTCATCGTTTGGCTATGGTGGTCGCTATCCAAGTAGTTTTGGAAACTCAATAGCCTCAAATGGCGGCCGTCGTGACTCAATTTGGTCTTACGGGCGAGGTGATAGCACCAGCGGGGGGAGTGGTAGACGAGGACAAAGCCCATCAAGCAACAACAATGGTGGAAACTACTACAATACTCATGTTTCGAGTGACGCACAAGGCAACCGTGTCTGGACGTTCTCGGGTTGATAAAGGGCTGTAATGTTTTGACGGATAAGCATCAACAGCCGTTGCACCACGTTGATGTATCCTCAATTAGTACTTACGAGAACAACATTTCAATGAAACATATTAAAATGAGACAATCTATGTTATTGATAATCCTGTGTAGACGATTGTTTTATTGTATCAGTGCCATAACAAAGTCAGATGTATGTTATAGTGCCTTCGAGATATCGATTACTGTACTTTAGATTTTTTATCGAATAACTGTATCCCAGTCATTATACCGAAGAAAATATATATTTAAAGTTAATGGATTTGTTCTATCTCATTTGCATGACAGCTTCCACGACTAATTTTCTGGGATTAACATCCTCACGATCACTGATTAACTCACTCTGTGGTAGTCTGTGTACGTCATGACCAAGATTTACTGAAATACATCAAGGGGAACCCCCCGAAATAGCGACGCTGGGGGGGATTCACCCGGGATTTCATCACTGGGCACTTCATCATTTATTGATCAGCTGAATATCGGAAATGTTGGACTCGGCATGGCCTCGCATGGTAGCCAAGGGTGGTACAGTTAACAATGTTGAGAGTAGTTTTGGACGTATTTGCAGAGGACGAAGGGGTGCACAAGGACATGACACGGAGACAGAGTGCTGGCAGCTCGTCGGGGTATCCGGCTGGGTCGGGATATCCTAGCTCAGGTGGAGATACGCCGGTTCCGTCGGCGCCAGTGGAGTCCTCTGCTGGAGGATATCCCTTGGGGTCTGGGAAACCCAGTTCTAGTGGGTACCCGGCGTCAGGTAGCTCAGGGTATCCAGCGGGGGCGGGTTATCCGTCGTCAAGTAGTTCCGGGTATCCAGCAGCTTCGGGCTACCCGTCGTCAGGTAGCTCAGGGTATCCAGCAGGTTCGGGCTACCCGTCGTCAGGTCGTTCAGGGTATCCCGCAGGTTCAGGTTATCCATCGTCAGGTAGTTCAGGGTATCCAGTAGGCTCGGGCTATCCGTCGTCAGGTAGTTCAGGGTATCCAGCAGGTTCGGGCTACCCGTCGTCAGGTAGTTCAGGGTACCCCGCAGGTTCAGGCTATCCTTCGGACACTGCACGTCGTACTAGTGCGACCAACGTAAACGCGGGATATCCCAGTTCAGGTCAGTACCCCCAGGGGGGATATGGGCAGGGATATCCTCAGAGAGGGTATGGGCAGGGATATCCTCAGGGAGGGTACGGGCAGGCTTACCCTCAAGGGGGATATGGCTACCAGGGGGGTTACCAAGGCCAGTATCCTCAGGGCGGTGCAGGCTATCCTCAGAATGGACAGTACCCCCAGCAGAACAAACCTAGCATTGGAGACCAGCTGTCGACTTTTGCGAAGAATCTCGCCCAGAGGGTGTTGACGCAAGCTATCTTGGATAAAGTTGCTGGCAAACCTTAGGTGGTTGACAGTGTCTGAAGAAGAAATTTTAGATAATTAATACCAATGTTCAAGGAACATAACAGAGATTAACCCAATTGAGATGGTAACGAGAAGAGATTCATGTCTAATAAAAAATTATTTCACTCGGATTTTTTCATTTTATTCTGTTTTGTTCTTTAACCCTAAATGGAACGGTACTGGTGCGATTGCGGTTATCAATTGGGGCGACGCAGAAGTAAGTCTGAAAACTACTGCAATTATCTTCAACGACTTCCTGCGCATTTTGATAGCTGTGTTTTTTCACGGTGACTAATGAATCAGTAGAGAGATGTTTAAATTCGTTTTGATTCGTAATTTGTGGCCACTTTGACAGCCGTATGATGTTTATTTGGAAGAATTTTTAGGGAGAATGAAGAAGTAATTGCAATGGTTTCTATAAATTATTCATTTTTCCAAAATTGAATCCAGTAGCGAAGCGGTAAACCGGGTTAAGTCGATTTTGACTTTTGGCCATTTTTTGACAAATATCTCGGAATCTAATAGCGATAGCAAAATTTTGCTCATTACCTTTTTTATAACCCTCAGTTGACTCTACAAAAAAGGTCATGACAAAAATTTTTCTATCTCTTTTAGATTCCCAGATATTCGTCAAAAACTGGACAATAGTCAAAATCGACTTAACCCGGTTTACGGCTTCGCTACTGAATCATTCTTTGGAAGAAACGATATATTGGTTAAAAATGAGTTCGAGTGAGAGAATATTTTTGAAATTCAGAAGGGCAAAAGTGTTTGCTCCAATGAGGGAATGAAGGGTAAGTCAGTTCTGATCGGATGGATGTCGCCTGAAGATGGAGAGTAGCTTAGTTCTCATACCGATCTATTTTTTCCAAATTCGATTTTGACTCAAATATACGTTCATTTATCCCATTAAATAAATATCCAGCATTTTCATAATTATTATCCTACACTCATTCTATTAAGATATTTTTTATAGCAATTTGGCTCAAATTTCCAAAGCTTAATTGATTAATTTTTTAATGAAAAGAGAATAAAAACAGAGTGAGAAATAAAAGCAGAGTGAGAATTTTCATGAGGAAAACCTCATGAGAAACTTCATGAGGAAGGATTCCTAAAGAAAATATTTCAATGAAGAAATTAAAATAAGATGAAATTTAACTGATTTTTTCTAGAAAATTTTTTCGTGCGGAAAATTTTGAAAACAAGGCTGATTAGGTTGAAGCGTTCATTTCCTTCAACTGATAATCAAAAGAATTTCAAATGTCATTGTTGATATTATAGAGATTTTCATGACCTCCCGTCGGCAAATCCTCAACAGCCAGTGGACACCATTCCCACTGGACCCACTGATGATCCCAAATGACAACTCAGTCGATCCTTTTGAATGATCAGCGCGCGCACCACCCCTATGCGCACATCAACCCTTAGATCCTCGTGGTCCATTGCCCTTGTAAACGCCGGTGTCGAGACTCAATTTGAATCGCGGCGGCAGTCGCGAGGCAACAGCCGACCCTCGTCATCCCATCCTGATCTCAAACCAATCCTTTCCGATCAGCAAGTATCCAGTGTGTGATTGTGATGTGCCGTGGATAATGTAATATCTCAGCTTCGTATTTATATTTTTCGTTGACAGTTAATTATTATGGAGTTTGCATTCCCGTCGGGGACAGATGAATCTCGTTGGAGATGAAGATGGCACAGATTGATGAAGTGATTATCGGATCGTGATTAGAGTGGTAATATCCCGCATTTTTAATGACATGTCGTGATTCGGAATTGCACGGGGAGAAGAGCGAAGGCTCCATATAATTTATCGATGCTATTCTAGGATTTTTCAGGGGAAATGTTAGAGATAGTTTTCAAGTTGATGACGTTGTTCATTTCCATGGTGAACAATAAGAGGAATAATTAATGGGATTTTGGAAGAGTTCAGCAATACTAATTTATTGTCAAATCGCGACGTTTCGCTGCATAGTTTTCAAGCGCTATTCATTTTGTCGCAGTTTGTTTCATTTTATTTTTAACGGTTTTTAGATTTTGTGTACGAAGTGCACTGTTGAAAACATTTTTGACTGAAATTTTTGGAACAGCTCTTGAGAGCTTTTATGGTTTCAAAGTTCCACTGGAATTTCGTGGAATTCTGTCGTTGAGAACTGAAAATTCAATGGGAAAATCTATGAGAATTGTGAAGCAGTTGAATTGTTTCATGAAAATGGTTCGAAATCAGGAAATTCAGGTAAATATATTCTTGAATTTTGAATTGATTGGAAATTGAGGGTAGTGTGGCACTGAATAGGCATATTTTCACTGAATATTCAAGTAAGTTAGGGAATTCTCGGCTTCCTGATGCTATAAAATTGGAATTTCACTGCACACCGGAAAAAATGTAATAGAATAACCTAGCGAATTCTACAGAAAATTTTAATGGTTTTTTGCCGATTCTATTGAAAAATTCCGCAGCTTTACTGTTTTTTTTATAGAACATGCTTTACAGAAAAATAAGAAGATTTTCATCTTTCTATACAAATTCTTCGTTTGAGACATTTTCCATTGGAATTCGTTGAGATTAATTTGTAATTTGAGCCGAGGCATTTATATAGGCAATATCTCAATAGAATGAATCCTGTAGAAAAATCGAATTCTGTTTTAAATTTTTTTTTAAAAAACGCAATTGCGTTCTTTTGTTGCGTTGTTATTGTATTTTTCATTGCGTTTTTTTCAATGATATTCCAAAATTTTTAGTAGCATAAAGACGAGAATTCCTTAACTCAATTGAATGTCCAATTTAATATGAATTTTCAGGGTCAAATTACATTGAGTTTTCAGTGAAATCTGAAATTTCATGATTTTTTCCCCCTAAATCATACTCAGTGTCATTGTCCTGAAAATTCAAGAATATATTCACCGGAATTTTCTGGTTTTCTATTTATTTTCAGGGATTGCAGTTTAAAACAGCAACTTACATTTCTCCTCGATTTTTCCACGAAATTATAAATTTTCAACGACGAAATTTCTTGAAATTTCATTTGTAATTAAATTCGATAAAAATTTACAAAAACTGTACCCGAAATGTCAGACAAAAATTTTTGACAGTATAGTTACAATTTTTTGTTATACCTGGTGAATATTATAAACATCTACGAAAAATATGAAGATAATCGTAGAAAAACCTGTGTAACTATGAGAATTGGAATTGAACCATAAAGTAATAACCCGAGAATGTTTTCAATTCAAGTCGATCAGACCACTATCTCTCCCTCGATATTGCACTGTCCTCGGAACCGCCATAAATATCTTGATCCGAAGGTAGTATGACATCTAGCAATTTGTGTGATGAATATTTTTCCATTACGCCGTACGTTTCCAACTTTATGAAAAACCGTCGTCCAACGCATTAGTCAGCGTCAACATTATTTGTATTTCGATTGGGGAAAACACACAAGTGGTGTTCAGTCGCAATTCATGACTCTCAATATTTTTCGGTATTAATTACTCCGGAATGAAGTGGCGAATTTTAGCGATTGCCTCACGGTAAATTAAACGCTGGACGAAAAAAAGTTAATTTATCAACATTATCGTGCACGATTGATTTATGGGAACGGGGCATACATGACCTATTTTTCCGTTCATTGTTCGCTATGGGAATCATCGGATGATTGGCGTCGTTTGTCAGTGTCTCTGGGAAGGTGTAACAATGGAGAGTATTCGATTGAGGGATTTGATTGGCATTCTTTCTGGAGGAATTGTTCGGGGGGGATAAATGCATTGAAGTTGGGAATATAATGGAAGGTCACGGGTGAGGGAAATGTCGTCAGATGTCACATTTTAATTTTTTTTTTGCGGTTCCGGGAATTTTTTGAGAGTGAAATATGATTAAGGTAATTATTTTAGATAATTTGGGGACATTGTTGACAGTAGAGAACAGGGTTTCTTTGCACGGAGACAAATGTTCAGTAATAATTACGGAACTCACTGTGCGCTCACCGATTACGGAATCGACTCAGAAAATTTAAGTGATGATATAGCAATTTTTCACAGGAGATTCTGGTGAAAATTACGGAACGCTCTGGAAAAATTCCGTGATAGTCCCGCAAAATTTCCTACAACCACATTTCGCTCCGGAATTACGCAAAAGATAACGTAATTTTTATTGAATATTTCCCTCCGTGTGCGAAATGAATGAGATAAATATTATTCACGTCAACGAGTGTGACTAGAGGGAATTTTGAAGTCGCAAGTTCAGGAATTCACAATTTTTTAATGTTCTCTCTGTTGACACGACAGTTTTCAACACTTACCGGTGATTATTCATGAAAAAGTAGTAATTATTATGATTAATTTAATTGAGTTCTGTTTCTAAAGGTTTTAATTTCTTATATCTAATGCGAAAAATCCCGCCTTCACACTCATTTCGATCGAAGTACAAGACTAATGAGTTGATTACCTCTCAAATTATTCCCCAAGCTTTGAAATTTAAATTAATCGGGGACCGTAGGGGGACCTAGGCCATTGCTAGGGATCTATAAAAATTTTGTGAGCTATCATATGAGCGTCAAATGAAAGATGCTAGTTACGACATTTTTGTGACATCGAATTATGACGGCATTATCATATGTTCGTCCTATTCCAATTAAATGGATTATGGTCACTCCTCAAATTTATGACATATTTTGTGACATAAATTCTACGTGATCATCGTATTCCACCTAAATAGCAGTAACAATGTTAGACTACTTAGAATTTAATGACAGTTTCTTAATGTTATGACATAATTTGTAACACAAACCTTATACGGAGAAAAAAATTGGAGAAAAATCACCGAACAAATCAAGAAATTGTGGAGCAAGCTCGATTTTCAGTACGTTTTCACCCTCACGGAAAAAATATACCTGAATTAAGTATAAAATATACTTCATTCAATTATATTTTATACTTGGGGGGTGGCTATTCCAAAAAATTTTCACTCCAACGCACTCTTTGCATGTTTGGCACAAAAAAATTGTTTTTTGATAATTTTCAAAAAACCATTTTCTTGACACAAGTAAGACTTGTAAGTATATTATATCAATAGCGAAGTGGTAAAACGGTTTAAGTCGATTTTGACTATTGGCCAGTTTTCAGTGAATATCGTGGAATCTAAGGGAGATAACTAAATTTTTCTTAAAATATTTTTCGTAGCACTCAATTTGCTCTAGAAAAAATGTTATCACAAAAATTTCATTATCTCCGTTAGATTCGCGAATATTCTTCGAAAACTCAACTAACAGATGAGTCGACTTAAGCCGTTTTACCACTTCGCCACTGATATATTCGAATCAACAATAATATACTTGAATCGAGTATATTTTTTCCGTGCTATAACGGGAAAAAAGTGCAAGACCAGCAGTGAATCCGAGTTTTCTCCGCTCGCCCACAAATTAATCACAAATCTTCTGGCATTAGGAATCATCGTGACCATGCTCACCCCCGTTCAGTTAAACAGAAGATAATTATGACCAGTCATTACGCGTGAAATACAGTTTACGATGGATAACTACTGGACGTTGATCAAAATCTAGTGGCACTGTTTCTCGAAAACCCCCAAGTGAAGATGGATGCGAGCACGGTGTGGAATTTGAGCAAGCGGTTGGAGCCGCTGGTGCAGAACTCATCGAATTGTACATCGATGGATGGTGGATGTTATTACGATCATGAGTTGGTCGATAGAGTGGTGAAAGTGGTCGTACCATTGTTCTTCGGCCCTATCGGTATACTCGGGCTTGTGGGTAATTCACTAGTGGTCATCGTTATTGCTCTCAATCCTGGTATGCGGTCTACCACGAATCTTCTCATTATTAATCTGGCAATAGCGGACTTACTGTTTGTCATATTCTGCATACCATTCACTGCTGCTGACTTTGTACTGCCGTACTGGCCATTTGGTGATCTGTGGTGCCGAATTGTCCAGTATTTGATCATCGTTACTGCCTGCGCTAGTGTTTACACGCTGGTACTCATGAGCTTGGATAGGTGAGTATTCATTCTGAGAGATGAGCCTTTTTTTTTCTAAACGAGAGGTGCTTTTGGTTGTTTAGAAAAAATGGGATTCGCGTTGTGAATGTTTGTGGCTTCGAGAAATGTTAATTTACACTGTTAGAAAATTACTCTTCAAATTTCATTGAAAAACCTTGAAATTTTTAACAACGATAAAATTACAGGGAATTTCTGCAGAATTCTTTATTGACGAATCAGCTAATTTCCCGAATATTCAAGTAATTCTCGATTTCCAGGTCCATACGGTACTGAAAAACATTAACTAGTGGATTGGGCTGTTGGTCGCTCGCTGCGCTCGCTCCCATTGCGGGTGGGTTGGTAGCGGATGTATTCATGTGGGTCCGACCCGTCGGACGGGTCGCACCAACAACTTCCCGATATTATTATTCCTCCCATTTTTACTAAAAGAATTCTTTTCAACTCTCAATACTCTGTTTATTTATTCATGAGAAACCCTTGTCTGAGCGATTTTCAAACTTTTCTCCAGGGAATTTTGGAAAAACCACTGGAAAAATCACTGGAGTTTCAGAAAATCCTAGATAAATCACTGGAGTGATTGGCTCTAGTGATATCCTGATGTTGACAATGCCAATCACGTCATTTATACAGGAGAAATACTTATCTTAGCCATTTTCAAACATTTCTCCAGGAAAATTTGGAAGAACTACTGGAGCGAATCACTCCAAAATCTAATCAGGTCTAAGTTACATGAAGACCTTTCGATTGCGTCCTCCATCATCTTGATCGCGCGAGTCATTCGGGAGAAATCGTTAACGAAAATTCCGTGGCATACAGACCTACATACACACATACACACACACACACAGACATGTTGTTTAGAAGTGTTTTAGACACCGAGAAACGTGGATAAATCGCAAAAAACTAATGATTCATTTTCAGGGTGATTACAATAACTACCCGATAGATCGGGAAGTTGATAAAATAAATAAAAAATTAGAAAAAAACGGAAGAAATATCATGGTGAAAAATATATGAAAAAAATTGGAGAAAATGAAGAGCTTTTCTTCATTATAATCGTTCGTTATGAGCATCTTATGAGAATGAGAAATTTTTGGTTATTTTTTTCTATTTTGAATTTTTCGTTCTGGAATAACTCGAAAACCATCAGACCAATATCAACCAAAATCTAATCCGGTCTAAGTTACATGAAGACGTATCGATTGGAGAAAAAAAAAGTTAAATCGGACCATTCGTTCACGAGAAATCGTTGACCAAAATTTTGACCACATACGTACAAAGTAACACACACACACACACACACACCCACAGACATTTTGTTAAAAACTATCGAGGAACATTAGAAACACCTTGAAACGTGGAGATATCATGGAAAATCGATTTTTCATTTTCGGGGGCATTACAATAACTTCCCTGCCCGGGAAGTTAAAAATGTGGAAAATTCAGGTAATAACTTCTCTGAATTTTTAATGTATTGAAAATTGAATTGTATGAAAATCAATGATTGTTCACCATGAAAAACCCAATTTTCTTGAATTTTCAAGATAAATGAGAAATTTAGTGAACGCTTTCATTTGAAATTGAATTCAAACTCGCAACATTGAAAATTCAGATGACATTGGGACTGAAGTTTAAAGAAATTTTCAATAGTGTAAGACTTTCTATTCATTTAAGACACGCAAATGGTTGCAGTCTTAAAAATGAGACGTTTCGGCATCCAAAAATAAGAAGTTCGATAGACACAACATTCATAATCACAAAATTTAAGACATTTTTCCTGTCTCAAGTCGAGACACATTAAGACTATTTCCATTCAGGAGATCCAAGTACTTCGGCAATTTTTTCTCCATCGAAATGCTTTTATATTTTTGTCGTCGTCTTTCATTTCAGCCCCATTTGACCCTATTTCGGGACATTTTACAATGATTTAAATCCGAATCTCGATATTATATCGTTAGAAAAAATTTTAAGAATCTGAAAAAAAAATTGAAAAGTTCACTTTTGGAGAAAGTATGATGAAATAATTAAAAAACGGCAATTTTTAAGAATAATTTATAAACAATCAATTTTCCACCGAAAATTATTTGTTCAAAATCGTAACAAATTTATTCATCTTCAGAATTTAATCAGAAATCTATTTTCTATCTGAAAAAATTGGGTTTTCGAAAGTTTAAATAATTTCAATTATTCATTTATAAACAATGAATGTTTTAAAAACAGTAATAATTCTGTGCAAAATATAATTTAGACGACGCTGAATATTCATGATTTTTTCAAATGTTTCTTACGCAATTTAATTGACAAATTTGATGATTGAAAATGGTATAGTTTGGTCTGTATTTGGATATCCTTAAAACCTGGAATCGTAAGACAGTAAAAACAAAAATGATTGGCGCCTTTCATGCAGCAGGTCGACAATGAAGAAAAAAAGGAGTCAAGTATTTGGAAAAATAAATGAAATATCATAAATTTGAAACAAAAGCCATGTAGAATACATGTCTCAATGTCTTAATTTAAGATACTAAAAACGACTTAAATTTGGAGCCACAACCGCCGGAAAATTGTCTCAATTTCAAACAGTAGTATTTCCAGTGGTCTTATTATTCATGATTGTGAGCGAACAAAGTCCATTCAACACCTTTTACTCATCGAATTTTGTTTTTCCCTCGGTAAAACATATCGCCGATATCTGTCCCCGGTTCTTCCCCCGATCATTCATTATCACCCATAATAACACCAGTACTCTGTACTTGACATGAAAAGATAGCCATCATCTCTTATCATTTGTATTCACTAACCGGAATACAAACTGATGACACCCGCCCCAGAAAGATCACCCCGAATGGGGTTGACTCGGTAACATTTTGATATGCGTTCAAGCACCTCCATTAGACTGATGGATAAGGGGTCGTTATTGAACCGAAAACAAATGCTCGGGAAATTCCTCACCAACAGTTGCATAAGTTTGGGGGAGACAGACGTAGGGAGACGCGATGGAGCTCAACGAAAAACGCAAACTCCTTTCTATTCAACAGGTATCTAGCTGTTGTGCATCCGGTGGCTTCCATGACTGTGAGAACCGAGCACCATGCGTTTATAGCTATCTGCATCGTATGGTTCGTCATACTTACGACGTCTATCCCGGTTCTCATCATTCATGGGGAGGTGAGTCTTTAACAATTTTTATTGACTTTGCAGATCACAGGGAGACCTGTGTAAATTTAGCGGAATGGTATCGGCTGATGGGGTGTTCAAAATAGGAGAGTTATTCCCTTTTTTGAGGCTGTTGCAAACTTTTCACGGAAATTTCCGGTTGATTTCAGGAATTTATTTATGGAGCTATAGTTCCCCTGAAATTTCAATACGGAGAGAAAAGTTGGATGGCAAATTTTACTATACGAAAGGTAATCGCGGAGCGAAATGTAATTCTATGAAAAAATATCTGTTTGCGGAGGATATTTGACGATTCATTCGGTGAAAAAGTCGATGCTGGGGACTTTTCTCTCGAAAGATGGGGATTAGACGAAAAGTTAAAAAAAGAAAAATTTGAAAATATTGATAATCGACGGAGTTATAATTTTTTGAAAATGGGTAGATTTTGCAAACAAATTTTTTATCAAATTGGCCTCAATATTGCTGCGATGTTTCAAGCTATCAAATTGCCCTTTGGCACACTCAAAGAAGATGAAAAACTCTTCAAAATGAGACGTTATACATATAGCATTATTTTCTGTTTGACGGAGTTTATACGAGAAAACGTATTTTTTTCAATCGTTTATTACTAAAAAAGCTATTTTTTTTCAATCTGCAATTTTCACCAAAAATTGTTAAAAAATGACTTGACGCCAATTATAGTTTGCCTTTTGCCGTAGCTCGGCGGTTATAATTTTTTTCACTGATACAAGTATTGAAAATGACCAAACATCGGTATTATTCATACAATTATCCCCCAAATGAGTGAATACTTGACTTGTTCGGTAATCTTTCTCTTTTTTTTCCGTGAGGGAATTTCATCATTAAAAATTGAAAAATTAAAAATTATTTTTGAAATTTAAATTAATTAATTATTCAAAACGAATAAATATTATGAAAATTGATAGAAATCAGAAAAATTCAGGTAAAAATAGTGTTTCATTTTTAATGAAAATTGAAAAGTCAGTGTAATTTGGTAGTGCAAATTCATGTTTATTTTTTTTAAATTCAAGTCAGTTGGGGAATTCTCGTTCGTCTGCCCCTCCAAAGTTTGGAATGTCATCATTCCATCATTGCATACATTTTAATTCAATTATTTAATCATTATTTTTATTGCAATCGGATTAAATATTCTTGAATTTTTCATTAATTGGAATTTTTTTTGCAATTCGGTACTGAATACCCAAATATTGATTGAAAATTTAAATAAGTCAAGGACTTCTCGTCTGCATGTTCTCCAAAAATTTGGAATTTCATTGAAATCTAGAATTTCATACTTTTTCCTAAATTGAAATTGTTATCAATTTATAGTTTCCCAAACATTTCGGGGAATTTCATCATAAAAATCAGAAACTAGAATTTCATGAGGGGTTACTCACTCCCGAAATCATGGCGCCACTCTGGCACGAAATCATTCCGAAATCACTTCGAAATCACATGAAATCGCCTGAAATCAACGAAATCACCAGACGAATTCGTTATTATTATTGGCCAGTTATTATGGCCAGTTTTGATTTTGATAATTTGACAACAATCGGTTTGCCCCACCTCTATTATTTATTAACTTTATTTATCTGAAATCACTGATTTCGAATAACTGCAATCAGTCAAAATCATGAAATCACCTCTCGTGACGCTCGACATCACCGAAATTATTTTATCCGAAATCACTGAAATCATCGCTGAAATCACCCGAAATCGATTTCATATCGATAACATGGTGTCACTCAATTACGGAATGACAACCCCTTAGAATTTCATCAGTGCACCTGACAATCGCTGTCAGAAATAATACCATCCCGCTAGATCTACGGAGGTCTGATCTCGACTCATTAATTTCGCAGATTTATATTCAGTTGCAGACCGATCCGGATCCGCAGCCCGCCTGCAGGATTCTCCCAGACGTCAATCGGACGGTATTCCAAGTGACATTTTTTCTGTTGAGCTATGTCATTCCGTTGACACTCACGTGTGCACTGTACGTGTTCATGCTCATTCGGTTGTGGCGAGGGGCGCGTGCCAGTGCTGAAAGTCGAAGGGGACGAAAAAAAGTCACTAGGCTCGTCATAATTGTCGTCGCTGTCTTCGCGATATGCTGGTTTCCCATTCAAGTAAGTGATGTTCACGTTTCTCCGTTAATAAGTATGAAGATTGAGGGGAAAATATCAGACACAATTTTTTATTACTTTTCATCCAATTTTTGTTCATCATAATTTTATGCAAATGAAAATGGCATTTGCAATAAAATTTTGTATTTCAAATAAATTTTATTAAATTTTATTTTATTATTAAATTTATTAAATTAATTTCAATAAATTTTGCATTCAAAATATCAGGCGACAACGAAATTTAATTGGGAAATTTGAGTCATTCCGTTGCATTTAATTATGATGTAATTATGATGTAATTGTGAATGTAATCATAAATGCATTCGTAGCTTCGGTTTTTTATATGCCAAAAAAATAGCATGTTTTTCTCTGATAAATTTATATTTTCATTTGAATTGGAATTTTTTCTGAAAATAAATGATCCATTTCTGGATTGAATAGAAAAATGACATGCAGTCACGCAATTTAATTAGCGAACTTGATTAATTTTGGCGCATTATGCCGTAATTATGAATATAATTATAAATCCAATTATGCAAGCAATTAATGTGAAAGTTGTTTGGTGTTTCAGGTAATTCTGGTGGCGAAATCACTGGACTCGTATCCCATGACGACAACGTCGGTCATGATTCAGGTGGCCAGCCACGTTATGGCGTACATGAATAGCTGTGTTAATCCAATTTTATATGCATTTTTGAGTGATAATTTTCGGAAAGCCTTTCGGAAGATTATTTATCTCAGGCCGAGGTACCAGGCCAAGGGGGCGGGTGGACCGCTGACCAAGACCACTCGGGCGGCGAGCAGCGGTGACATCATATAGGTGAGAATTCCGGCTTTTATTCCTTCTCTTTGATGTCAATATCGGAAATTTCGACATTCCCACGCTAGTGAATTTTAGGAGATGTTCTTTTAGGGTCACTCAGCGTGAAATTATCTTCTTCATAAGGGGAATGTGAAACTGAAAAGACGGAGAATTTTGTCAGCACGATTTGATCTTTATTCTCAATTTCATTATTCTAGGAGTAAAGCGCATGATTTCTCCGGGGAATTTTAAAATTGGAAAATTATTCCTGGTGGTAGTGAATTGTATCATGGTGTTCTGGAGCTAGTTGAGTTAATGTTCTCCCTTGCGCAGAGTGGAATTGAATTCCGAGTAGTGGAATTGAATTCGATTTAGGAGAAAAACTAATGAAATTTCGAACTTCACTGAGAATTTATTGAACTTTGAACTTTTTGGGCAGCGGGAAGACAAGAATTCCATCATTCGCTTGAATTTTTGTGAATCTTAGGGAATGTTCTTGTAGACTTACTCAGCGTGAGATTATTCTCTTCATAAGGAGAATGTGAAATTGGAAAAACGGAGAATTTTTCCAGTAGAACTTGATGTTTATTCTCAATTGCATATTAAAGGAGAAAAGTGCATGACATCGCGGGGGAATTTTAAAATTGGAAAATTATTCCGTTTAATTGTTTCACTGTGTTCTGCATCTAGTTATGTTAATATTCTCCGTCAGCGCGGTGTGGAAATAAATTCCGGGTAGTGACAGTGGATTTTACTGCGAGGAAATAATAAAATTTTGGAGAATTCCCTAATTCTCTTCAATTTTAGTGAATCTTAGAAAATATTTTTCCAGACAGACTCAATGCGAGATCATTCTCTTCATAAATAACGAGAATGTGAAATTGAAAAGAAGGAACATTTTTCAAGTACCACTTGATTTTTATTATCACTTCGCTGTTCCAAGAGCAAAGTAGATGATTTCTCCCGAGAATATTAAAATTGGAAAATTATTCCTCGCGCTATTTCATTTTTTCATCGTATTCTGGATCTAGTTGAGTTAATATTCTCACTCTGCTCGAGGTGGAATTAAATTCCGGGCTGTTCTGCTGATGAAGATGGGGACGTAAATACTCGGGAAATATTAATTAGGTCTCATTGTTTTTATGGTACCCGCGAGGAATATTCCGCGGGGGTATACCTATTGTTGGGTAAACGGCGGAAGATGGGGCGCGGGGAGGAATGGGGTTATCCGCGGAGGATTGACGTAGGTATAGAAATGGAAGTGTCATTCGATAAAATGCGAGGGAGACGAATCCCTGGAGAGGATTTGAAGGAGCGCTGGTTAAATTTGGGGAGAAATTTCCTGTTTATTTTTTTTAGATTTTTATCTCCTGGGAAACCACCAAAAAAAATGGAGAAAAATTACCAAACAGTCATATAGACTGTTGAAAATTGTCATCGAATTTCATTACCACTGAAATGCCAGGGAATTTCGTCATTCACAATTCAGAATTTTGTGGAAAAATCACAGAGAACTGTAAATTTCAGTGCCAGTTTTCCCTGAAAATGAATAGGAAACCAGAAAATGCCGGGAAAAATATTATCTACCGGATATATATAATACATTTCGCATATTCTTAAACGAAATTTTCACGGAAATCTCCGGAAATTTTATTAGAAATCCCTAAAAATTAGAATTTTAATACTTAAGAGCAATTTTTCAAAAGAATTCTCTCCATGTACCATTTGGGAAATGTTACTGTACAGGGAACAGTAATTTTTGCAGCCATAGATGTATTTTTTTATTGAACGAAAAGTAAGATATTCCCCCCAAATGTATTTTTTATTGAACTACAATTTTGCTCCACGATTACCTTCCGTGCACTAAAATTTGCAACAATTTTCTAGTACTTTTCATTCAACTTTTTCTCCATGTAGTTTTACTGGAATCTCTCCTCTTTTATTTCATTATTTTTCATTTAATTTTCATTTTCCCACTGAAATTTGGAATTTTATGATCTTTTCCCCCTGAATGGAACCAATGTCAATGTTTTTTTAAACGAGGCTGCCTGCGCGGAACAATAATGTTTTCAAAATGTTATTGTGCTATCTGTTAATATTGGAAATTTCCTTGTGCTATTGAAGACGTAATAGTCAAACAAGCGCAGTAATTTACTCTCCTGATCCCCCATTTGAGTCCGATGATAAAGCGCCCGATGCATTCTAAAGTTTTTTCATTATGTGATCATATCATAAACTCAAACTCCTAGTCGTTCAAATATTCTAGTTGCTCGTAAAACCCCACTTTCTCGATGTGCATCATAAAATATTTGATTTGACTAACTTTTTCCTCTAAATTCTCCTCTCCATCCCGTAAAACAGAGCTGTTCATGTTCACACGGACTAGTCCGGAGTTATTCAACTCGAGTTTTCCAAGTCGTAAGGGGAGTACTATTGCTGGTTATCCTGGGTATTCTCTTTATTTCATTTTTCTTTATTAGGGTGGAAGGATAAACTCATTAAGTGGTTGACATTGAATCAACTTTTCGCTTGTGCTCTGTTGGAAGTAAGTTGAAGTTTTATGGACAGACGACTGGTAATTTTCAGTGAAGTGGATTTCGGGAGAAAAATCATAAACTTTCTAATTTCAAAATTACAAAACGTCAATTTTCATGGAATAATGGAACTGAAATTTATAGCTTTCTTTGATTTAGCCGTGAATTTTTCAATTTTCATTGTCATGTGATCGGGGGAAAATCAAGAAATTTTAGATTTCACTCAAAATTTCATGAAAACGGCGAGGATTTTTCATTGTACTCCCGGAATTTTCCTGAACTAAAATTTAGAGATTCCATTGATTCTTCCATCAATTTTTTAATTTTCAATGCTGCAATTCGTTGGAATTTCAATGGAACTATAATATGATGAAAATTCCCAAGAAGTCTTCCAGAAATTTCAGCCAGAAATGTTTAAGAATATCCAACTACTTTAGTCAAATTTTGAAAATTTGGAGCATTTCTAGAAATAATCTATAAACAATCAATTTTCGGAATCGTAGCAAATGTATTCATATTCAGAATTTGCTCAGAAATCGATTTTAGGCCTAAAAAATGAGGTTTTCGAAAGTTTAAACTATTTCAATTATTCATTTATAAACAACGAATGCTTAAAAAATGCTAAATCTGTGCAAAATATAATTTTAATGACCCTGAATATTTATGATTGTTTTCTATTTTTTTTCAAGTAATTTAATTGACAAATTTGTGCACGACTACACGTCCTTAACGACGTGTAGTTTTAATGAAAGCTGGAATTATTCTTCGTGTTCATGAAATTATTTATCGTGTTCATGTTCCACTGAAAATTCAGGAAATTTTATCCTTGAACAATCAAATATTCTATTGATTTTCTGTTCAAATGACCTGGAAATCAATAAAATACTTGATTTTTCAATTATTCTGTGAAAATTATTCTGTGAAAATTCTAAAAAATCAGGAAAATTTGGGAAAAATTGGACATTCATGTCATTTCGTCTCCGAATATTCATGTTCAACTAAAAATTCAATGAAGTTGTGATATTTCCATCTCACTCCCACTGAAAACATGAATTTCCGTGAATTCCATTAAAAAATTGAGATTTCATAAAAATGTTTTTCCTAAATGCGATTCAATGTCACTTTCATGAGATTTACTATAATATCTTCCACGAAATTGAAAAAAATTTTCAACAGTGTATCCCTTTCGTTTCGATTCCGAGAAATCGACAATCCGGATTCTGAGAAATTCGACCCTCCCGAGTGTAGCAGGTAAATGGGACGAAAGTATCAGTCCCATTCGCTCGATTCATCTCATTCAGAAAATGAAAGAAAAGCCTTGGGTACGTGAAAAATTAGCGAAAATCTCTGGTGAAAAAGCGCTTTGGTGGAGTAAAGTAGACGCGGGTATTTTCATCAGACCGAGGGAAACGGGCGGAGGACGAAGGGAGTGGGATCGTTGGGAAGAGTCGTATTTATTCATCCAGCTGCCATCCATTTGTACGTATTCTCCAACATCGCGGAAAATTTTCTCTTCACCCTTCCCCTTTTATTCCCCCCGATCATTCACGAAACTCAACACCTCTCACAGTCATACGTAAGTCTATCCCTCTGTACGGTTCCGCTCGATAAAAAAAAGGAATAAAATGGAAATAAAAACGGGTAACATATTGCTTTAAGGGGCCCACGCACCACTCGTATGGGGCTGTTGCAGAGGGCATTTCCGGAGTGCGTTAAAGTAATGGCGCTACTAGGCTCATTTATTTCTACATGAATTCGGAAGAATGGAAAGAAATATTGCAGAGGAAATGATGACACGAAATAAGAGTGTCTTGGATCATTCTAATTTGAAATTGAAAGTAGGACGACATGAAACATTCTCATCTTCCGGGAAAACTAAGTTTTTTAAAAAGAAAATTACGATTTTTCAAAAATATATTTTGATTTGTAAAGAAATTTAAGATTTTTCTAAAATGTGAATTTTTGGACAGAATTTCAAGCCATTTTAAGTAAAAAATTGCAATCATGGAAGAAATTATTCTTCTGGAAAAGGGGGGTTTTTCGAAAAAAAATTCTGAAGAATTATAATTTATCCAAAAAATTCAGTATTTCTAAAAATATTGCGGTTTTCCAGAAAATTTTACGGATTTCACATCAAAGATTTTTCATGTGAAAAACTTGTAATAATTCCCTAAAGAAATTTAGTTTTTTTGTGAAAATGTAAATACCTCGAAAGAATTACATTTTCCAAAAAAATCAGAATATTGGTGGATTTTTACTTTAAATTCTATTTGAAAAAAAATCTATTTTTTATCTTGGAAGAAGATAATCCTTTAAAAAAGGCTATTCTTTAAAAAATTCACGTTTTCCTGAAGAATTATAATTTATCCAAAAACTTCCAATTTTCTAAAAACATTTTAATTGTCTAAAAAATGTCAACTTTTTCAGCTGAAATATTTTTCACTCAAAATATTTACAATACTTTCCTAAAAATATTCAATTTTTTTATGAACATTACAATTCTTCGAAAGAATTACATTTAAAAAAATCGGAATCTCGGTAGAAGTTTTTTTGAATAATTCTATTTTTCAAAAAATCCCCATTTTCTTTGGAGAACTGTAATGCACCAAAACAATCCAATTATTTAAGAAAACTCAAATCTGTTGAAAAAGTTTGCATCTCCCCCAGAAACCTCCATTTTTCCAAAACATTTTTTTCTCTAAAATGTCAGCTTAATCGAAAAAAATGTAATTTTTAAAAAACTTGGCTTTCATTTTTATTTCCCCTGAGACTCCGGAAATCCAAGCCAAAAAATTCAACCAGTGTACAGAGGCATTAACAAGTCGCCTAAACCGGTGTCCCCCGTAAAGCCGAATTATCGTAGTTTCCCTGTTCATCCCTTAGCGGCAGTAACATTCGTATATCCGCGAGCGTTACATATCAAAAATATACCGCGCGGAGCACGTATGTAATCCACAGAGGCCAGAGGTTTTCCCAGCTACACACGAGACTGCGCGCCTTATATACTTTATCCCCGACTCGTTAACTTTTTCCCCCGGAAATGAGAGAAAATTGCTGCAACTGCAGAATGGGAAAACGCAGGATGGCTTGAGGGCTCCGTAATAGTGAGTCAAACGCTGGAGATCTCGAGTCGCAGCTCGAGAAAAAAACGCCAAGAGTCGATGGGGGGAATTATCTCCAAGATTGTTCTCCTCATCGTTCTTATCCTTTTTCACTCCTCCATTTACGATTTTGCGCTGAGTTCTCCTTGGTATGAGCTTCAGTGTAGGGACTCTATAAATACCCTCTGGAGGCTTGTACCCTGTGGGTGAGAGAGCCGCGTTCGAATTGGCGAAATATACGATGCACGTGTTCCACAAGCGAACGGTTGAAAGAGGAAAAAGGAAGGCGATAGATTATATCTTTGATACCAGCGTACTGAACATTTCGGGTGATTTTACTTTTTTTACAAATGCTATTCGAGGGATGAAATGTTACTCAACTGCAGCATAAATCGTACCGAGAGGTTTTTCGCGCTGGATCAATATAGATTGAGTTGTGTATGAAGGAGGTACATTTAATGGGAGGTTCTTCTGCATTTACCGGGGATGTATTGAATGGGGATCGTTCGCGGCGGAGTGTTTTCCGCTCTAATATTTACTGATAAAGTGGAAAGTCTAGACGGAAATTAATGGCGAAGCTTTATTGACCAGGTTCTCCTCGTGAATCGGCATCAATCATCAGTTTTTGTAATATTTTCGTTGAAATTTGAAAATGACAAAATAATTGATGATTTAAATTTTCAATTGACGACAAATTAAATAATTAAAAATATGGAATTGAATAATTGAGTTCAACTGCAGCGTAAATCGCACGAAAAGGTTTTTTGCGCCGGATCAATATATCTTTAGTTGTGTTTGAATGAGCTATATTTAACTGGAAGTTCTTCCGTATTTACCAGAGATGCATTGAATGAGGGTCATTCCCAACCGAGCTTTTTGCGCTCCAATATTTACTGACAAAATATAAAATTAGGGCGGAAAATAATGACGAGGCTATATGGGCTCATCGAAAGCTAGCGTATGTCTTGGCTTCCCACGTGATCGGATGTCCGATGATATTCATTGACGTCGCCCCTCCCCCCCCCACTGACGGAATGGTATTAGCTGTTGACGATGGCCCGAGATCATGTATTGCAAATCAGCGAAGTGAATATGCAAGCATCGATATTATCTGATTGCACCGATGCGTTGGGTTGAGTAACACAGGGATGATGAGGACATGAATCATGACGTACGAGGGTTTCGTAATCACTACAATACTAATGGCAATCAAACCGCTGACTAAATCAATAAATAAATTCCGAAGAAATAGAACTAGATAAATGAGTGAGTGTGAATTATCATTCACCTTCATCCCTTTGCGAATGTCTGCAATGTAATATACTTGAAATTGGACTGAAGAAACGTCCGGTCCGGTCGCAGCGAAGCCACCAAATTCTGCGACAGCGTGAGTTTCCTCCCCCGGGATATTTAAATTACTTCGATAACTTATTTCATTAACGCAACCGGGTAAACCAGAAGGAGAGCTGAAAGATGCTAGTCCCCTGTATCCTGAGGTCGCCAGCAAATTGAATGAGACCAGAAAATTGAGGAAGTCCCTCGAGTGAAACTTGGAAAAGCATGGAACAGCACTTCTATATTGCGTTTCTACCAGTTTCTTTCCAAGAGTTGATTGCTCAGTTGAATTTTTCATCACTTATCGTGATTTTTCAGACCCCACTGTATTTCGACAGTTGTCACGTCGTCCATTGCACCCCACGCTAGCTCACGTCGACTTTCGGAGCCTTCAAAAGAAAACCTATTACTTAAATATCTCATTCTGTTACACCGAATGCACTCTCACAAATGTCCGGAAATGGGGAATCGATTGGAGGTATAAACGTATTCTAGATGGTTGAGACCATTTAACGGGCAAGAACTCTCAAGAGTTCGCTTTTTTTTAACGTGAGACGTGATGGAGATGTAGGGAGTACTTAGATTAATGAAATGGTGGTGGGAATGCGGCTGCAGCGTCTCGTGTGTGGCTTCAGTGGGTCTGGGATTGATTGAGGAAAGTACGGAGGACGAAGTGGTTGCCAACGTCTTAATTAGCTGGTTCAGACCACTGGTCAACAATGCTTTGAGGCTCGGAAAAGGTCCGCTGTGTTTCGAGGATCCACTAAGTCACTTCGGAGTGGGACGTACTCTTCCTTCGGGAGATTGCACCCGGCCATTGTGAACGTCTTGGAGAGATCTATCGGTTGACATTCGAGAGAGGGTACATCAAATATGTTCAGGAAATTAATCCTTAGTTGTTTGTAGAGGAAACCTTTGGAGACATTCCATTGCTGTTGGCTTTTCCTAGGTACTTCCATTATCGCAACCATTAGAGGAGATGGTGGCTGATATCGATAGGAGGTATTCCATCAGAACTGATTGAACTTGATGGTTATCAAACATCTTCAAAAGGTGTTGATTCCTTTATCGTAAGGGTTGATTTGGTTGTTTTGAAGCTTGATATTTTCCGTGTGAGAGAGAAAGGTAAAGGCTAGCGTCTTCAAGACGTCTTAATCTAAGATTTTGGACACCTAGAATGTCTAGAATGCGTGTCTTAATGTCTCAATGGAAGTCACCACAAATGACTCAGATGTAAGAAGGAGACAAAAGCATCTTACAACAGAACTGATGTAACTTAATGATCATCGAAATAACTTCAAAGAATTGATATTTTCTGGGCACATAAGAAAACACCTTTTCGGTTTAAGAGATCCTTGGTTGTTTGTAGAGGAAACCTTTGGAGACATTCCATTGCTTTTGGTAGGTCCATGGCTTGTCCTAGGTAGGTTTTTGAGGTGGCTTTCCCATTATCGCAACCATTAGAGGAGATAGTGACTGATATCGATAGGAGGTTTTCCATCAGAACTGATTGAACTTGATGGTTATCAAACATCTTCAAAAGGTGTTGATTCCTTTATCGTAAAGGTTGATTTGGTTGTTTTGAAGCTTGATATTTTCCGTGTGAGAGAGACAGGTAAAGGCTAGCGTCTTCAAGACGTCTTAATCTAAGATTTTGGACACCTAGAATGTCTAGAATGCGTGTCTTAATGTCTCAATGGAAGTCACCACAAATGACTTAGATGTAAGAAGGAGACAAAAGCATCTTAATTACAACAGAACTGATGTAACTTAATGATCATCGAAATAACTTCAAAGAATTGATATTTTCTGGGCACACAAGAAAACACCTTTTCGGTTTAAAAGATCCTTGGTTGTTTGTAGAGGAAACCTTTGGAGACATTCGATTGCTTTTGCTAGGTCCATGGCTTTTCCTAGGTAGGTTTTTGAGGTGGCTTTTCCATTATCGCAACCATTAGAGGAGATAGTGGCTGATATCGATAGGAGGTTATCCATCAGAACTGATTGCACTTGATGGTTAGCAAGCATCTTCGAAAAGTGTTGATTCTTTTATCGCAAAGGTTGATTTGGTTGTTTTAAAGCATTGGTATTTTCCATGCAAGAGAGGAAGGTAAACACTAGCGTCTTCAAGGCATCTTAATCTAAGATTTTGGACACCTAGAATGTCTAGAATGCGTGTCTTAATGTTTCAATGTAAGTCACCAAAAACGACTTAGATTTGAGAAGAAAATAAAAGCGTCTTAATTGCAGAGACTAGTTTTTCTGATGCATCAGAACTGATTTAACTTAATGATCATCGCAATAACTTCAAAGAATTGATATTTTCTGCGCACGCAAGAAACCATCTTTTTTAGGTTAAAAAAAAACATGCTCGTTTGGTGCAATAAAAAAGTCGTTAAATCGTTATTTAATGCCTCAGTACTTAACACGTGTTCACTCCAACAGTACAAAGATCTGTCAAAACATTTAATTGCTGCGGAAACTTGCAATTACAAACGCACGTGAAATGGTTTCCATCTGAGTAGATTGAAAATCTCATTAACGGTTGCATTCTCATTTCCAGGACACAATCTATGATATTCAGAACTAGTCGATAGCAGAAGGCTGACTGGAAGCCTTTGACTAGAGGGCGCCCGAGACTTCACAGGATGATTGGCAATGAGAAGGTACAAGGCTCCATCAAATGCATGGTGCAATGCTTTTGTATCTCGAGTTATTGCGTAATTTACAAATGGCTCAATACCAAAGATAATTGTAGAGCACGGTGGGAGAATGATCTTTGTTCAATTTGACTGGTTACAATGATGCTGTATGATCGAAGTGGCTGGATACTCAGTGTGATTCCGTGTTGCTTCTCTTTTCCAACGATTTTCCCAATGAAAAATAGTCTATAAATAACGATCGTCATGTCATTTGAGTGTATAAATGTACCAAATGGTGTTATAAATTATATGAAGTGTTAATGATTGCTGTTAGACTTTATCATAACGATGTATGAGAAACGAATATTATTGATTTGTAAAATTTGCAGCACAAGGATGAAGTAGATAGGGAATATAACTTGATATGTATACGAATATTCACACGAATGAGTACCTCTTGACTTTGAATTGTAGGAAAATTGAATAAAACGTGGAGATAGATTTTGAATACATCTGACTAATATATTGAATCAGCGGAGGATGGTATATGAGCCCCTGCCTCCTCCGCGAGATTCTCCAGTGCGAAAAATTATTACCACGTTTTTTCTTCCCCTTGAGAGATCAAAATATTACACTCACGTAGGAATAGTTATTTTTATTGAATAACTGAATGAATGAAATAACAATACAATGGGGGGTAAATGTTCTGAGTGTACATAGAACTAATTTATCATTAAATTGATATCGATGTACATGAGTGTAAATTTATAAATGTTGAAGGGAGACTAACTTGTAAAATAACTGTACTTTAATTGTATATTAAATCCAATAAGTATATGCTAAATATGGAGTTTAATGTTCGCTATAATCCTTTATCCAGAACCATTACAAATTCTGAAGCACCTATTAATTCCACTGAAAATATCACAATCAAGTTCTACATTAGAGTAGTACGACAGGGAAATGTGTGGGCGGCGTGGGGCTTAGCCTTTAGTTGTCGATTCCATCTGGCTCGCTCCATAAATCTCAACTGGGTTCAGCGGGGGGTCTTCTTGAACGGAAAGAAAAAGCAGTGAGTAAAGGAACGTTTATGATGGACGTAAAATTAAATGGACTCGTCGCTTTTACGAGTGCCAAGGCAGCGTAAATATTGATGCTCTTATATGACGCTCTCCAGTAAATTTTCCAGGATGAAAAATACTTGCGATGACAAAGAGTACATTCTCGCTGAGTTTGGTATTATCCAAGCGTCAGTTGCCCCCGGTTTATGCGACTAAATGCACTGCATGAAATGTTCATTTACATCGTAACGAGGGGGCGAGGAAAAATATTAGATTTTTGAGTGGTTCTCATGGATGCAGTGGCAATAATGATTCATTGAAAAACTCCATCATTAGGTCATCGATATTGCAATGCATCTGTCAACTCATCATGACCTAAATTGAAACCAAAATTATGTAAATTTATTGTCGAGGTTTGAGAATTTGAAATAATTGGGTCAAAAGTCTGGGCCTAACGCCCTAACATTGAAACCAAAACTATAAGTTCTCAACTGAAAAACAAAATTGAATATTAAAAATACGTGAATAAATAGATAATAAATGAATAACAAAAAGCAATAATAATTGGGAGAGTTTAATGGATCCGGGAATATGTCGCCAAACGGATAATTGGCGTGATCTCCCTCGAGGGAGAGTGTGCCGAGGGTGTAAAAAATTCATATGGCTCTGGTAGGAGAGATGCTGGTGACAATCTCCTTTGCGGATGGCTGCAGACTCTCAGAATTCTTGTAATTGCCCGTCCCGGCAACACAGCGCCAGCTTTTTGATACCCCGCACTCTCGCATTATGCCGGCCTGAGTGAGTTTCCATGTTAACGCGTATGATGCCTGCTATTTCGGGAGAAAATAAAGAGAGAGATATGGATCAGAGGGCTGGTACAATGGAAATTGGAAAACTCGTTTCAATTATAGGGGGGTAAAACATGATGTGTTCGTTAATTCAGTTGAATTCATTGGGTAAACAGGGAAATAGGGGGAATGTTTGGAGGAATTAATTTCATTTTTCTCCGAATTGCGGAATGCTGACAGCTATTGGATTTCAATTATTTTTAGAGTTCTCGTTATTTTTTGAGAGTCAAATATAATTGGACGGATTACTTGAATTCATAGGGGGAATTATAAACGGTAGGAAACAGAAATTTGTTGGAAAGCGAACGAGAAAAATTCCATTCACAACAACTTGCGGTAGATGGTTAGAAATTTTTTGAAATAACAGATACATTTGAATTTTCAATATTCGGAACTTGAATTCAATTTCAGAGTAAACTGCTCATGGAATTCCTGATTCATCTTGGAAATTCAATAAAATTAAGTTTTTCATGATGAATGATCATTGAATTTTCAATGACAATTTGGATTTTCACATCTATCGCGAGAATTAAGCATTACATTCAATTGGATTTTCAAGAGATTTAAAATTCAGAAGAAAAGTTGCCTAAATTTTCACGATTTTCAGCAATTATCAGGGTCGTATGAACCTGAGAAATCAAATTTCATTGAATATTCACGAAAATTGACAAGATCAATGAAAATTTCATGTAAATTATTTCTTGTTAAAAATTTCAAGATTTGTTACTTGAAATTTCAGGAGTAATTTTCTGACAGTGTACGGCAGAGGGAATTTTTATTTCAATATTTTATTGAATTATCATAAATTAAAAGAACAGGTATAATACAAATGAAATTAACGTATGAAAAAAATTATTCGAAAGGTTAGACTGTGCATTTAAAACAAAATTTGGTGAGTCGACATATAATTTAATGTTTTTTTCATTACAAAATAGGATATTCACGATGTATATGATAATTTCCAAACTTTATCGATGATTATTCACGAAAAAATAGTAATTATCACGATTGATTGTTTGAACTCTAATTGAATTCATTTTGATAGAAACGTTGGACTAATGATGTGTTGACGTAGTCATTTACAGGATTTTTGTCGCATTGATCGCCTCTGGAATGTGTCCCGGTCTCATCCCCTCACGACCAGAACGGAACTTAAATCAATTGTGTTGTCGGGGTGTAAGAAGAGTTAAGACACCGATGCTCACAGAATATAAAGTTCCTCGCTTTAAACGTCACAACACACCGGGACACCTGGAGTGACGCAGCTACTCATTTTTATCGGGTTTTTTTCGTCTGTCACGTCTTATCTGTTCAGCGAATGGCCTCTTGTCTCAAAGATCAAAGAACCTCTTAGTGGGAATCACCAATGAGATCCATACCGATTTCCGTCTGACCCGGATACTCCGTTATCGCTTCAAGTTGTAATATCCGGTTGGCGAAGAGATACTCTTTGAGTCGTGATGCATTTCGATGCAGTGGAGACCTTGGAGTGGCTCGAGCAATCGGCGAAGGCAATATCTTTGAGTGTATCGACTAAATTAACATAATCGATACTTTCGAGATGATAATTGAACTCACTAGCATAACTCACGACTTTTATTTTGTTGAATTTATTCCTTGGGAAAATTGTTCATGTATTATTCACATGGTTTGCTAGATTTATATAAATGGTTTCGGTTTGGTTTCGGTGGTTATTTTGCAGTAAAACAAGTAAACTCACGACATATTCCACTTCAGATTCGAATCAATAAGTGCACTGTTAAAAATTTTCCTCTAAAATTTCGAGGAATTTTGTAATTAATAATTTCATGAAAACATCGGTGAGAACTCTAAATTACAGTTTAATTATTCCGAGAAAATTAATGAAATTTAATGAAAATCTTTCGCATTTTCAAGGAATTCCTCCTTGCGAGAATTCTAAGAATTTTTAAGGAATTTCCTTAAAATTCAAGGGAATTTGGCAATGAATATTCATTTTGCCTTTAACATCCTTGTAAATTATGGAATTTCCGTCTCCCTGCCGCAAAACAAATGAGACTTTACTTGAATGTTCAGAGATACTTAAAATTTCATTGACTTTCCTCTTAAATCGCATTCAATGTCTTTTTCCGGAAAATTCAGCGAATTTTTTTTAACAGTATAGAATTCAAGAACTTAGTTGAAAAAAGATAATTCCGTCAGAGTTGAATGTATGTCGGATGCCTCATGAAATTCTACTCGCGCATGAGTTTAGAAGTGCTCTTGCACTCATGAACTTTCGAACTGAAGTGTCGAACGGAGGAAACTATTTCCTTTGCCATGGTTAAAATTCCGGCTGCAATGCGTTTTCGTTTTTTTATATTTTAGCGTGTTTCTTGACGCTTAAAAAGTCTGAAAAAATAAGAGTCCCTAGTTCAATTCTTTTATTAAGCGTTTGTATTATCCGTTCTTTCTCGGGAAATTTGATTAGCTAAAAAAAAAAAAGAAACGTCAAATGGACAGAAAGTCGGCGCCGCGCCGCCCGGCGCGAGTGAGTCCCTGTCGACCGCTCGAGCGCCAGTGTTGCTACATTCACTGCCACACATGAAGTGCGCACGTAGCGGTAAGCGCGAACGTGGCAACAGCGCGCGCGAAGCGGCGGATGAATGCTGGCGGCCGAGCGCGAGTGATCGAGGGTTAAACTTTCAAATTAGCGGGTGGAAGGTAGTAGGATCTTTGCGCTGATGACGGATGAATTGTGAGTCGCGTGTGACTAGTAGTTCAGAATTTTCTTGACCCCAACGATGAGATTAGTGGAATAGTCCGCACAGGGCAAATCAGTTTTGCTAATCTTGAGGTGACGCTGAACTCAGGTAGAAACACCCGTAGCGTGACGTGACTGAGAGTTCCTCTGGAAGGAATCAGGTCACGAACATTTTACGACAGGTGTGGAATTACAGTGAAGGCCTAGTTCACCAACGAATTACTTTTTTGCTTTCCTTTGAACAACCTTCTCTCAAATACGAAAGAAAGCACGTAAGTTGCGACGAAACGGATTAAATTACGAAATGTCTGAAGATGTTCTCTTCATTTATTAATGAAGGTCCAATTAGGTGTTGTCAAATACCAGTTCAACTCCCGAGCACCTCAATTTTTTCACTGTGTATACGTCTCACCAGTTTTTCTTATTAATAATTAATAATAATAATGTACTATTAACCTCTCCGATCGTTATAAAACATTGACTTTTCAAAGCATGAGAATTGATTCTATTCCGCTCAAAGGATTTGCTTCGAGTTTTTGCTCCGAGGGAAATAAATTGTGTTTTAAAATTGTCAGATGCACCTGGCGAGATTCTAATAATTGGGAAATTGGCCTGGAGGATTTCCTGGCATATTGAATTTTTACTTTGAACCGTTTCGTAAAAACGCGGATTATATCAAGACAAGCAGACACTCGACATTTTGGAAAGTTCTGAAATATACTATTCCCACATCCGATTCTCATTGAGAGAAACAATAAAAAATCGATGTAAACATTTTTATATTCTCCGTTTACGAGTCCTTCGGGAGCCGGTGGGCAAAGAATACAGGAGCGCTGGGAATCGTTATCGCAATTTTCTTTTTTCAGAGGCTCAAGTCACTCCTAGTCACTCTCTCAATCCTCAATCCTGTTGTCGTTGGATTTTCTCTAAATGGAATTTCAGTTTAAATCCTTGTGACGTGCTATTGGAAAGAACAGCATCGAATCGGGCGCTGTATTACTTTGGAAATTCCGATTGAGAGGATCTTATTTCTTTATGTTTGTGCGGAAAGTTGGGAATGCTGATAATTAGATTAGGGGACGAAGTTCTTGTTCGCCGGGACGTGCCAATATCTGTTCGCCCACGCGCGACGGAATGTGTCGAGTAGAGAGGGTAGATGATGACAATTGTATTATTTTTTTTTTATATGAAAAATGAAAATGATTAGATGCGC